AAGAGAGTCTCCTGGAGGCACAGAACTCATATTCACACTGTGTCTCTTGTGGCTGAGGTCGGATACCGGTGGGCCCTGTGACAGCCATTCTGACCTGGCTTGAGGCCCACGGCCCACCAGCAGCTACAGCAGCAGGCAGGTCCTGTCCCACCTTCATCTGAGCAAGTGCCTGCCTCTGCATCATCCCTGCAGGCCAGAGCTTGCCCTGCTGCCTTGGGAATCTCGAACTACAGCCTATATTACAATGAGGGCCAATCCCTGCCAGGGTCCCTTGAGGTGTCCTTAAGCCAGGGCCTGGCAATTACAGGGGCAAAAAACCTGGACCAGAACGATGCAAGGGGATATGGGGAGGACAGACAGCAGCCTGGACTTTTACTCCAGGGTGTACATGTGCCTGTGTGTGCACGCATGTGTGTGCACAGGTGTCTGTGCAGGTGTGTGTGCAGGTGTATGTGCCTGTGTGTGTCCATGTGCATATCCGTCCCTTCCAAAGCCAGGGGCACTCACCCACCTGCATGGTCCTCTGCTTGCAGGTGCTATAGGTCTTCAAGGGCTCCGAGGTGAAGTGGGACTCCCTGGTATCAAAGGTAAGCTGGAGGGAGGGGCCTAGAGAAATGGGATGTCACCCTGTAGATGCCACTCACTCAAGAAGGTCTGAGGGGACAGGGAGGGTCTGATGGACCAATAGCCCGTGCAGGCTGACAGGTGAATGAGGAGAAGGGGTGTCAGAACGGTGGGGTGAGGGGCCTGTCTTCAGACACAGACACTGCCCTTCTTGGTCTTCCTCGCCAACACTCTTTATACCACATTGTCCGTTAACTTTTCAGGTGACAAAGGACTTATGGGACCACCAGGACCCAAAGGTAGGGTGAACCTGCTCAGATATCACCAGTCTGCCTGACTCCTGGGAACCTAAATGTGACCGGAGCCCCAGCTTCCCAGAATGTGGATGACTCTGGTTCCTAGACCCCTGGGCTAAGAGGGACTTGAGAGCTTATTCTAGTGCAACCTCCAGATATGGAAACCAAGGCACAAAGAGGGGACCCAAAGCACCAAGGCCGCAGTACTATGGCTGGGTGGTCTCGAGGAAGTGAGAATGCAGCATTGAGGTCTTCCTTGTCTGGCCCTCCTTATGTCTACAGCATCCATTGTCTGACAGCAGGGGCTGGGGTCACTTTGTGGGTGGGCTCTGACCCTGGGGACATAGAACTGTGCCCCTTTGGCTTAATGAATGCTGAGTTCTCACCCATATTCTGCTGACAGTAGCTTCCAGGTACAATGAGAACTATTCTGCTGCTGGGGGTGGGAGGTCTGGGGTCCCTCTTCCTGGGTGAGAATGTTTTCCTTGCTCTTGACTGCTGCTTCCTGCCCCACCCCCACCCCATGTTTGTTTTAGGTGACCAGGGTGAGAAAGGACCCCGAGGCCTCACAGGTCAGTCCTCCATGGGAATCCACTTTGATCCATTAAAGACTTTTTGTAAATCCATCAGGCACTGGAGGNTGGCAGGATGGCTCAGCTAAAATATAAAATAAGCTAGAATAGGGCCATCAGGGAAGGCCTCCCTGAAAAGGTGCCGTTTGAGCCAGGACTTGAAGTGGGAGAAGGGAGCCGGGCATGAGATCTTGGGGGAACACTCCAGGCAGAGGGAGCAGCCACAGGCCCCGGGAAGAGTGTGCCCGCTGGTCAGGGAGCAGTGAGGCAGAAGGGGAAGAGGTGATGGAGGCCTTGGCTGGGGCCCAGGAGGGAGGGTTGGTGACAGGCCGACAGAATGGGGCCTTGGAGGCCCCTGTAAGGACTTCGGCTTTGCCTCCCAGTGAGGTGAGAAGCCACTTGCAGGTTTGGGGCAGGGTGGGACATGACCATCTTGCACTTTCAAAGGGTCACTCTGCTTCTGGACTGAGCCTGCGCTACAGTGGGTGAAGGGAGGTTCAGAGGACCAGTGTAGAGGCTCCAAGCAGGCATCCTGCCAACAAGATGCTGCCTGTGGAGCCCTCAGCTGTGGCTCTGGGTCCTAACTCTGATATGGCCATTTCTGTTTTCAGGAGAGCCTGGCATAGAGGGACCCATGGGCCAGAGAGGGCGTGAAGGCCCCATGGGACTTCGTGGTGAACCAGGGCCACCTGGGTTTGGAGAGAAAGGAGACAGAGGTAAGAGGCAGTTCTTTCACCAGGCGGCTTAGCTACATCCATGCTTACTTTTTTCACTAGCATTTGCTGGGCACCTTGAGCCAGTGTCTGGCCTTGTGGAGACAGTAGTCTAATGAGGAGCATGGGCCGGGCTACAAATCCAGGCCTTGAGCTCAGAACCCTGCTGGACTCAGAATGCATGGAGAATGTGATCAAGGGCTTCCCAAGCGAGGAGGAGGAGTCAGGGCTGAGGGGAGATGCTCGTGGCAGGGCAGGGCCGGACAGAAACCAAAGTGGGTTCAGATCCTCAAGCCTCTCCTGGCGGGAACTAGTCAGGGAAGGAGGCACGAGGGCCCCAGACACAGGCACAGCCCTGAAGGGGCCTGAGAAGGTTTTGCAATTAGATTCTTAACCAGGAGCCTGTTTTTATCAGGAGAAACCAAGCACAGACCCCAGAAATCCTCTCAATGCCAACAAATCTTGAGCAAAAAGCTTTACTTTTAGCTTCCCTTTTCTCTTAAAAATATTGCTAAAGAAGGCAACAAATGTTTATTGAGCATCTGCTGGTGCCAGACTTCATGGAGTACGAAGGCTCAGGGGTAGAAACCAAAGGTGTTTTGCTGACTTGTGGCCTCAGGGAGGCACCAAATGGCTCAAAGCCACAGGCAGGGCGAGAACCATCCCCCACCCCCACCCCAAATGATGCCAGCAGGCTGGGCGGGCAACCAAACTGAGGGGAACCTCTCAGAGCACTCATTTCTCCCCAGGGCCTGCTGGCGAGCCGGGTGTTCATGGTCCGCCTGGTATCCCAGGTGTTATGGGTCCCAAAGGTAAGTCAGATGTCCAGGATGGTACCCAAGTTTGTGGCATCCAGTATGCATCATAGAGGTCCAGGCGCTGGCATCCCAGGAAGCCCGAGGCCCCTGCTCCAGGCCTGTGCAGGGGTGATGGGCCCAGAGAGGGCCCCCCCACAAATGAGTTCCTAGGGGTCAGGATTGGGGCTGGAGTTCTTGCTCCATGGTGTATTTGGGGCCACATTTCCGTCTGTCCTCAATGGCCCCATTATGTGGCCCCCAAGTGGGTGGATGGATCAGGAAGTCAAGACAATTTCCTCCCTGACTGGGGCCCAGATACACACATTTGAAAGCACCATGTCTGGACAACCGGGGAAAATGGGCCTTCTCCGTTTGATGCTCATCGGGTCAGCTCTCTTCCCTTTCCCTGCACCGAGCCCAGATGTTTTACTCTGAGCCAGAAGGAGCAGGGGTCTCTTGATCGCACCAGCTACAGCTTCCTTCT